TGCTTTTTTGATAAATATTTTATCATTACACACTCGCATTAAAACAGTCAAAAACCCCTTAAATTGTTCTGCCTAAACGTTTTTAAAATTCAATTCCATTTGCTTATTGATAGAGTTATCAAATCCTAAATGTACCCTGTTTTATTTTGATATATTATCTTTATAGCCTAGCAACTTAGTGAGTTTCTAAATGTAGACAGGTCTAAACTGATTTGGTAATTTCAGATTGTACAAATTTGATCGATGTGTTTTCTCTTTTATAGTTAAGATTATAAACTAAGAAAAATGGTTTTTTCATCATATAGAAACTGTTGCAGGAAATCAAAATGGAATGATATAATATCATCTTATAACAGATCCAATTATAATACCATCCACCATCCAGGGTATCCACATATGAGAGGTGCTTTGGCACAAGAGCCCAAGCTTTGGGAAGTGGGTGAAAAGAGAGGAAGCGGTTTAATTCTGCTTGGTCGCTTTCACTTCCGCCTCATCAGGCGGATTCCCCCTATATCTTTCTATATGTGTGATTCCGAACCGCCCCCGTCCACTCGCAGCAACTCAAAGTTGCAACTCGGAACTCCAACTCTGGAGTAAAGTTCCTCCATCAGCATCATCAGCAGAAGCTAAAGACACAGCAGCTGGCAACTGCAAGTGGGTTTTGATTTCACGTGGGGTGTATAGAGAAGTGTGTTTTTCTCTATTTTCCTAGAGCAGCCGAGGGGAAATGTATGCTGTGTGTGTGTGGGGGGGAAAAACTGCCGCCTAATGCTCCTCTTCTACGCAATCAAATGTGTGTTTGCTCTTCTCTATTTAAATTGGGCATTACCAACGCTCCGGTGATATATGTTTCCTCTTTTGTTTGCCTGACATCTGTGCAGGCGGTGGATCAGGGTCTTGAATATGCATCTAGCGATTACCATATGCTCGGGTCACCCCATGGGAACTCACATCCTCATACTCAATGTGTGAGCCAAATGATTATACCAATTAGAAAGTGATTTGTGAACAAAACTCTGTTGTAGATCACTTGTGACACTTCACACACAAAAGAGCCAAACTTGTTTATCAATTCAAGATATCATTTCGAAATGCCGCCACTTAAAAAAGAAAGAAGTTTCTTGTTAGCGGTCCTAAGGGATTTGGAATCTATTAAGTTCCATTCTCATATTGAGTAGAAAATTGGGAAATTGTTAGGAATAATAGAACTTTCTACTTGTATTGTATTTGTTATTGGAACTTGAAATGTTTCTTAAATAAATAGAAAAAAATATTCTAAGTATTGTTAGGGACCCTAATTTACTATGAAACTGGTCTACATATTTTCAGTAAAGTATTTTTATCTGTCAGAACTTTGGACAGTTTCAACCCACCTTTTCCCAGGTTTTTCACGCCATTTTCCGTGTTTTTCCCCCACTCCCTTGGCCCTTCGCTTCAGTCAATTAGCAAAGTCAATAGGAAATGCCGCCTGTGGCTCTGCTCTCCGTTCAGTTCAGTTCATTTCAGTTTAGTTCAGTTCTGCTGACGTTTCAGCATTTTGCTTGTTTAATTTATAAACGTCAGAAACTTCGCACACTCCCTACCCCATTTTCCCTGGCAGTTAAGAGCTCTATTTGAATTTTCACTGGAAGCACAAAAGGCGATTCCCACACATTGCAAACCAAATGGCAAGAGCAAATTCAAATTCAAATTCAAATACAAATACGAGTGGAAGGGCTTATGTGATTAGCAAAAGTTTATATAAAGGAAAAAAATGATATAATATCCAATCAGTTGACTTGGCTTACGAAGTAGGGATATATGATATATGCATCATGCTTAAAAGAAGTCATTTAATTATTAATTAAGAGGACTCTTTGCACACAAGACGAACGAACAAGCGAAACTTTTGGATGTGGGACACAAGTTCAGCGGCAGCAGAATGCGGTTTGGGGTTAAATGTGGGGCAGAGTTGAATAATAGAAAAGATTTTACTGCAACGGGCACAGAAAGCACCGAAAGAGGCACATTAAAAGCGACATAAAACCATCAATCAAATGTGCTTTAATTAAAAAAATAATTACATCTCTTCCAAGTTAGGATAGTATCTAAAATACACGATATAAAATGATAAAACATTTGTTTCTAGATTGTAAATTCTAGAAAAGTGCTAATAAAAATGGTGAAACTGGAGCAAAAATTACAAGATATGGGAGGAATTCTAAGGGATTTCCTTTCTCAAGTGCAAGGCAACAACCACTTGAACTTCCCCATCTCTGGCCTTCTCCCCTCTATAAATAACCCCCACCGCAGATGCAATAAAATCACCCAACTTAGAACACAACCCGCCTATTTACAGATCCCCCTCATTGAAAACTGGCATAAAGGGGGGATCAGATCAATTGGATGATGACGACGAAAGTCAAATGCAAATGCTTAAGAGAAAAAAATAATAAAATAAAAACAAGAGGGACCCCGAAGACGAGTTCAACTTGTTGTCTCCCCCTTCACAATTTACACGAGTCGTTGGCAGACCTCTCGAGTGATCTTTCCCCTGGGATCTCCGTTTCTCAGCACGGTCGAGTTAATAAAGATCAATTGAATTTAAACAAAGCAATTCTTTCGAGGAGAAGAACATATTCCCAAATTCCCCACCTCTTTCTTTCTTTTTCCCCTATGAGTTCAAGTCAAGTGAGTGCGTCTTGTTACAAGTGACAAAAGAGGGAAGTTCAATCCCCCCTCCTACACCAAAGCAAATGCGCATTAAAATGAATATTATTTCAGCAACAAAAGAGGGAGGGAAAACAATTAAAATACACAATCCAAAACAGGAAACAACCCAGAAGAAGCGAAATGAGCTGCAGAAGAATCAAAAGCTTGACCCAAAAAAACATGTTTAGACTCTCTTCAATCATCTTCTCCATTCTTCTTTTTCGGTCATTAGTCAAAATTTGAGCATCGAAATTAATTATACAATACGAGGCCCACAATGGGAAACGTTTAATTGGAGGGAAAGCCCTCGGAACGGAAAAAACAGAAATAATACAAGCCACAGCAGCAGCAGAAGCTATTTAAAGTTTTCAAACAACTTCTACAACGACGACGAAGACCAAGATGACGACGACTTCCACTTTCCGAATTGGACAAAACTTTTTGTTACATTTACAATTTGGGACACAAAAGACGCCAAGTTGCTCGAAAAAAACTGCTGGCCAAACGAAATCTTGACTTTGAAGTTTGTAGGCATAGAAAATTCCACTTTTTGGCCGCAGTTTCTCAGTCTTTTTTTTCGTCGTCGTCTTTGATTTGCTTTCCATCTCGGCGAGGAAAAAAATTGGCAAGCGAACCTCTTGAAAGCGAAGTCTAATTAGGCGATGTCTCAATGAGTGGAAATGGGAGCAGAAACTTAAGATTCTCTCGGAGATTAAAATGCAATGAAAGTGAGTTGTAAAAAAAAGGGGGAAAAAATTGCATAATCTTCGAGTAAAACAAAAGTTACGGCCACAATAGTTCTCAGGGAACTGGAAAAACGATAATTAAGGTGAAGAGTAAAGGTAAGAAATGAGAAATTAGCTCACTTCATTGAATTCAATGGCAATTTTAAAAGCTAGCTTCTTGCTCATATCTTATCAAATATGGTGTATCATAATCATATCTATATAACGATTTGACTTACTTGTATAGATAATGTAATTTAAAAAGGATTTAAACTGATAATACTTTTGTATCTACAAACCATTATATTATTTATATAGTTTTTCTTTAAAAAAAAATTGTTAAAAAATACCAAAATTTAGAAAATTGTTATTATACATTGCATTTAAAATAAATATTAAATTTACTTAAATTATCCAATTTACCATACACGTCTGTATCTGACGGATCACATAGAAAAGATACAGGACGGGAAACAAATTGCAATAAAGGGGCGATGCAAAGACAGTGACAAGTCGAAATATTGTCCCACTCTATCGCTGCATCTTTCTTCCTCTTCGCCTGCTTGACCACTTTTATTTTCATGCCTCAATTGATGCACCCCACTCCAATTTTCCCCTTTCCCCAACACATTCCCTCTTTGAGACAGTACTCTCCATCCTCCGCGGAGTGAAAAATTGATTGTCATGCAAAAGTGAACTTTAGTTTCGAGTTTTGAGTGAAGTGAGCGAGGTGAAGAGGCCCAGTCAAGAGTGAAGAGAAAATGTATATAAATAAATACATAAAGCTATTGTCATTCTTCTTCAGGCCGTTCGTGGCTTCCGAAAGCGAAAAAGTCTTTGAGTAGGGTACAGGAAAAAATAATGCAGTAAATCCACCATTCATTCATCTATAAAAAGTTCAGCTATAATCTATTAAACTATACTTTCTATGAGTCTATGACTACGTAAAAGTCAGAGAAAAGTTCGCCTATTCTTTGGTTTTACTTTTGCAAACTTAAATTTCTTATCGAATCGTATTATAAAAAAGATCCCGTAAAGATCTGTTGTTGTTAAAATTACCATTTCATTAAGAAATCGAATTTATATGTTTATATCAAGATTATTTTATAGTTATCTAACTAGAACTTTAAATATTAATAATAAAATAATAATTAAACCTGATTACAAAACCATGGTAGCAATAAACAATACCATTTTTAAAAAATACTATTTTTAAATCTATGGCAACCCTTTTTTTTTAATACCAGACATCTACAGAGGTGGCAACCCTTGCTGTCAAACTAAAGTCAGTCATCGAATTTCTATTATAATAGTGACTGTCGAATCGTGGAGACTCAAACCAAAAAAAAAATGAAACCCCAGTTCACCCGAAAAGCCAAAGTAAGTGCGTCTCTTTTGTCGCCATCAGTAGATTTAGTAATCCCGATTCGTATCCCGCTGTAAGCCAGAGCCAACCACAACACCTACAGCAATAGAACCAAAGACGTCGACCAAACTGGCGAATCCGAAACCAAGATCCGCGACGGTGGTGGTGAAGCGCCGAGGTAATGATGGTCCAACCGTTGGCCCCGGAGGAGGTAATTCCGGAGGAGGTGGTGCCACTGGAGGTAACTCCAAAGGCGGTCAGTCCAGGGGAACTAATTCGGGTAAAGGTAATTCCGGAAAAGGTAATACTGGAGGAGGTAACTCGGGACGAGGTAATCCCGGAGGAAGTAATTCCGGCGGAGTCAATTCGACAAGGGGTAATAATACCGGACAAAGAGGTGGCTCCTCTTCCTCTAATACGAACAGGGAGTCCTGCAATTTCGTTCCGGTTCGTCGTAAGCCCCTCGGCGATTACATGCCCCTTGAGGAACCGTCTTCCTCCAGTCGTCCAACTACATCATCCTCCTCAAACTTACCCGATAACCCTCCACCCATGAGCTATGCCGCCGCCGTGGAATCGCATCCCGTTTCCAGGCTCAAGGTGAAGGTGGTACTATCTCCACGTGTCAAACGGGTCGGCAATCAGCCGGTGGTCAAGCGTCCGAGCCCCAAGAGCTCTCCCGTCACCAAGGTCAAAATGAATCCTCCGCCGTCGCCGTCACCCTCGCCTCCGCCGCCGCCGCCGGAGCCGCAGTCGAAGCCACACAATGTCCAGGAGAATTCAAAGGAGAACACGGTGGCTCCGGTGGATCCGCAGTCTCGGATTGTCGAGGAGAGTCCCATCAAGCCGACCAATTCAACTCCATCAGTCGGCAGTTCGAAATCCCAGTCGAAGAAGAAAGCCAAGAAGGCCAAGCAGAAGCAACTACAGGCAGAGGCTGAATCTGAAGCGCTTTCCGTTCCACAGGAGCCACCAACGAGTCTCCAGAGTTCCTCGCCCACGGGCTCCGAAGTCATCGCCTACTTGGACCATCACCATGTGCGAATGCAGCGCTTCCTGGCTGAGCAGACGGCTGGACAGGGACCCTATCCCAACCGTGGCCACGTGAAGTCCTTCAAACACACTGCCCAACTGCCGACCCATCGATCCCTCTTCGATTTCGATGAGCGGCTCTTCCAACGCGGTGATCTGGAGGCCGCCGCCCTTTTGGCCCAGAACAAGGTCATGCTGCAAAAGTGGCTGGAGCCCAGCATGTTGATCTCCTAGGCAGCCCGAGAATCAAGGACCTTACCCATGCAAATTTATCAGTTAGTTTTTGTGTTTGAAGTTGTTTTGTTGCATCAAAATCCTTTTCAAAATTTCAAGAAAAATCTCTCTTCGGCATGCGAGCGCTGTCGACTTGAAATTGACAGCCCAGAGAGATTGGAATTACTTTTGGTTATACATATATTGGCAAATAAAGTTATTTAATACCAAAATTTAAATAAATCATTGTTTTTGAAGTTTAGATTTAACAATGTCATATTTGAAAATTGCAGAAGAGTTTCTATTATGGAATAAGAGTATAGAAACATATTTCCCAATATCCTAATAAACATAAATTGAATTTAGTAGAATTTCTATAATGTGATAGGAACATATAAATTAAATTCAGTATAAGTAATATTTACGCTTTAATAAAAATCTATCAATAATAAATGCATATCTCCAAATATAAATAAATTATTATATATAGAAAGTTGTATTATATTATTTACAGAAATGTTAGTATTTTAGTATTAGATACTTATAAAGTTTATTTATATTTAAAGAACTCCCAACAGATCTATCAGTATTTTTTCTCAGCGCATTCCTATCTCAATTTTTCTAATATTCCCTTCTACATCTTCTAGCATTTTGAAGTTTGTTGCTGTAGTCATTTGTCACTCGAAAAGGATGCAAAAATTAAAACATGGCCCAGTGAAAAGTGATGGCCTATTGGGGCGGCCAAAAGGGGTGGGGGTCAACGGCGGGGTCAGGCAAGTGCAAATGTGTGCCATGACAGGAGCGGAGGTGCGCAGAGGCCAAAGGGGGGTCTCGTTAAGTGGCAAACGAAGTCAAACGGACGGCGACGCTTTTATTTTTGATGCTTCGCTGCCTCTTTGTGTGACTTGTGCTCTCCACTTTCCACTCTCCACTCTCCAATCTCCACTCTCGACTTTCCTCTTTTTGGGCCCTCGATTCGTGCTCTGCGAAATTGGCCAGAAAAGGCTGGCCAAAAACTGGCACGTTCCTATAGCTGTAGATATAGCCATACCTAAAGCTATGGGGCTCTACACAGCTCTCTTTCTCGATCCCCCCCGACTTCCCATGACAACATGACAACAAAGAGGTCATTTACTTTCCTTGCGAGCATGAAATAATCGTTCGTCGTGGCTGTGACTCTGGAAAAAAGATGTAAAAAACATCGAAAACAGCTCGAAAAGTCAGGCCAAAGCCAAACAAAGCGCAAAGCAAAAAGTCAAACTCACATATTTCGTGCAAAATAAAGCGCAAATGCAACAATGACTACTATTGGTAATGGTACGAGTTCGAGTTACAAAGTAGAAAATACTCTGTAATTTCGATTTTTGTCATTGTAAATATATAAAAAAAACTCTTTTCGAATTTAAAACTTTTATACCTTTGCTCCAAAAAACCTTTTTAAACCAAAAACCAAACCAAAACTTTTAAATGTATCTTTTCTTAGGTTAATCAGTAAAGTAAAGTGTATATACAATTATGTTTAATTAATTTTTGAATTGAACAAAACTTAAAAAATCTTTTCTAAATTGATCTATCTATCTATCTATTTTCTATTAGTAAAAAAAATTATTTCCATCTCTATTAATTTTTGTATTTCATATGCATTAGATCATTCCATGTAATAGAAAAAGTAAAATAAATTCTCGGCAAATCCGTAAATTCCAACATGCCCATTTCCTTAAATGCAATATAAGCCAGGAAAGAAAATATAAAGCTGAGAGATAAATGAAATTGGCAACAGAACAGACAGCCACAGAGGATATAGGCACGGGTACAGGCCCACTTTATAGTCCACCAGTCAAGTTGACTTCTCTTCTCCATTCCGAATCGTTTGGTTTTTAATTTTTTTTGGTGGTATCAAAAATCGATTAACAAAGCGCCATCAGCGTTGCGCCGCAAAAAGCCGCAAAACTTTAACGGCACATTTAAAAAGGCATTTCTTTCAAACGAATTCGCGTGCCAATCTCTGTGTGTGTTTGTATCTAGTATCTATGAGGTGTATATGTGGGGAAGAAAGAAATAAGAGATAATTGGTATAAAATACCCGTTTATTGCTGTCACGAGTATCGATTCCTACATCAGGATGTGTCACGTGCAGATAGCAGTCAAAGCAAATCCCCCTGCAAAGTCTCTATAATTCTAACGTCCTTTTAATTGGGGTGATTCAGGAAAAATGTGTAATATTTCCCCTTGGATGTCGTAATACTATTGTTCAATTGCCATGGTACAAAAAATCACACACTCATGGCGTAAGCAAACTTGAGCGACGAAAAACAATAGTTTAAACTTGGCTTCTGATCTCATAGGCTTTTGTTAGTCAGGGTTTTTGTGTTGCTATAAAATGCAAGTAGTGATTATTCGAAAAAAAAAATGTTGATTAAAATACATTTTAAATGACATTACTAAGAAAGATAAATTATAATATTATACTTTTATAAACATTCATTTTACTTGCGTTTATGTTTTGAAATGGTAGCCAAAAATTAATATACATTAGAAATTCCATGGTTTTCAAATTTGTGTTACTCTGTTTCCAGTTTTCTTCACAACATATCAACGATTTTGGAGTCAAATGAAATCATTTTGAATACACAATTTCCAACAAAAAATTCCTCAATTAGTAAAGCGTCCAGGCCGCAAAACAAAAAAATGATTGATCCCCTCTGCATAGGTTAGGTTAGGTTAGGTAGGAGTGGTTGGAGACTAAATATTAGTCCCCTCACTTAGGCCACAATGGGCCCCTTGTGATACCACATGATCTCTGAAAGATCCGTTTCCCTAGCTCATGGGTTTACTGCCTTCGCGAAGTATCCTGTTCTTTTTAAGAAACATAGTAGTTTTTGAATGCTTACGTCCTGGATGGCCGCAAGGTTCGGAAGTGTGTAGCTACCTAGGGTTTGAAAGCGCTTTAGGTTATGCGCTGGGCAGAAGCATAGGAGGTGTTCGATGCTCTCCTCTTCGTCTATCTCTTTGCAGCTGCGGCAGAAGTCGTGGTTACTTAGACCCAGCCTTGTCGCATGAGTCCCTATGAGACAGTGGCCCGTGAGGGCATTTAGGAGAGTGGAGATGTCCTCCCTACTACATTGTAGGAGAGTTTTTGTTCTTTTCGTGTTATAGTTTGGCCATGTGAGTCTAGAATTGTGGCATATTGAGATTGAGTTCCAACGGTTGTTGGAAAGAGTATACAATCTCTGCCTGAGAAGGAGCTTGCAGGTAGCCATGGGCATCCCTACCGTGTCCTTATCACGAAGGATATCGGCGGTTGTCCCCTGTCTTGCCAGCTCGTCTGCTATGCAGTTGCCCTCAATGTTGCGGTGCCCAGGCACCCAGATGAGGCTGATTCTCAGATGAGTGGCCATCTCGTTAAGAGATTTGCGGCATTCAGAGATTGTTTTTGAGCTCGTTGTGTAGGAGTCGAGGGCCCTGAGGGCAGCTTGACTATCCGAGAATATGAAGATATCACTGTCTTTATGTACAGACGTGTTCAGGTGGGTAGTGGCTTCCTGAATTGCCATCACTTCCGCTTGGAAAACACTACAGTGGTCTGGTAGGCGGAATGAGACTTTTATGTCTAGTTCGGGGGAGAAGACTCCCCCACCTGTTTGGGAGTTAAACTTGGAGCCGTCAGTGTATATGTTGACGGCGTTTACGAATTGATGTGGGAGGTTGTCCCAGTCTGAACGGGTGGGTATATGAATTTTGTATCTTCTTTCGAAGTTGACTATGGGTGGGACGTAGTCTGTATAACGTGGTAGGGGTGAATGTTTTGATAGGATAATGGAGTGACCCGTGGAGCCCGTTGTCCAAGCCGCTGCTTCACGGAGTCTCAGCGCTGTTGCAGATGCCCAGCTTTTGGCAAGTAGGTCCAGGGGTTGGAGATCGAGAATTGTGTTTAGTGCCTCGGTTGCGGTAGTGCGCAGCGCCCCACTGATGCAGAGCTCTGCGCTCCTTTGGATCTTGTGAAGGATCCGGAGGTTGCAGTTCTTATCTAGAGAAGGCCACCAAACGATGTTTCCGTAGAGGAGAATGGGCCTGACTATTGCAGTATATAGCCAGTGAACTATCATGGGGGAGAAACCCCACTTCCTCCCTATGGCTTTTTTACAAGCGAAGAGGGCTATGGCCGCTTTGCGTGTGCGATCTAGGATGTTATCAGTCCAGAGGAGCTTTTTGTCAAGAATGACACCTAGGTACTTTGCTTGGTTGCTAAGGGATAGGCGCGTTTGGTGTAGTTTTGGGGGAACTAGAATTGGTACCTTGTACTTCCTTGTAAAGAGAACTAGTTCGGTCTTGTGCTGCTGGGCTGCGAGGGGTTCCAAGCAGGCCTGGTTTAGGAGGATAACCACGCTCATGGTGACTCGCTCGGTTTTCTCCACCTTGACCACCTTCCAACCGTCTGTTGGCAGTTTTGGGTTGAACCTGGTCAGCAGGCTGAGTATAGCCTCTGGTTCCGATGGTTCCGACGGCAGCCACACCCTCGCTCTCGGTCGAGACGGGATGTCCGCAGCCTCACAAACTGCCAGCTTGGCCCCGGGGTAGACCTCGCCGACTTTGTCAATTGCAGCCTTATAGAGTGCTGCCGATCTCTCGTCTTCGCAGGCGATCAACTTTACGTTGCCCTGGTACCACCCTGCATCTGTGCAATCGGGTGGCGGTCCTGGGTTCTCGTCCAGCACTTTCAAGGCCACTGTCGCAAGGGCCCGTCTAACCAGACCCCAATGGTTTCTTGGGATCCTTCCGCCTTCATCGCTCTGGTCGATGACTCCAATGATCTTCCGATCCTTTACCACCTCCGCAAAGGATCTCGACCATGTGCCGCGGTTGGTTACTTTGGCCTTCTTGCTCGCTGGTTGAGCTGACTCCATCGACCTCTCTCGCTTGTTGCTGGTAGTCATAGCGATGTCGAAATCTGGGATAACTGCCTTCGCCCAGGCTATGTCCTCTTGGATTTTCTGGTAATCCAATTTCGAAGTCTGATCCTCACGTATCGGATTGGTGGCCAGCCGTTTGAGGATCCTAGTAGCCTTCTTTCTTTCAAGAGGTCCTGCCTGGTTAGGTGGTACCCTCTTAAACTCCTTTGCCCTGGTACTCACCATGAGACCGGCTTTGGCGCTCCCCTCAGGTTGGAGTGGCTGGTTAGCCACACCTACGCTGGTGGGAGGCTTGGGCTTGTCATTATGGCGAGTTGGGCTTAGCCGGCTGCGTTGTTCGCTGGCCTTGGCAGGGGTCGACGTCACGTGGACTGGGGTAGTCAGAGCCGTGATCTTGCTCTTACTTTCGTCGTTGGTTACGACTTCCGACTTTATAAGAGTGTCGGGCTCTCGTCTTGTGCAGTCTTTTTGTTTGTTAATTGTTAAGTTCTCCATGTTAAATCCCACGAGCTGCGGAGAAAGGACAGGTCCACCCGGGCAGAGATCCGCCGTACCCGGGTAAGGCTGACTTAGAACAGGCGGTCGCCACTTGCCTGAGCTCACCGTTTGAGACTGAGTTATTTGATGACTCGGGCTCCCAGCCAGATTGACTCTCGGCACGGTACGAGTGACACCTTAGTCCAGCCCGGGGTGAGATGAGTTGTGTGGGTGGGAAAGAGGTAGGTTCAAAGAGTGTGGGAAGGGGGTGTGTGTGAGCTATTTGTCGGAGGCGGCAGCACAAGCGCGACGTCGGTACTGCTACGGCGCAGATACCCGCTGACTGTCCGGGGCTACTTATTTGCGCTTCGTGTTGGGGGCTTGGCGGTGGCCGGGCCGTGTCCAACTTCCACGCTTATTCGTAGCTACCCTGGAGAACCAGGGCGCTCGCTATCCGCAACCTGCGACCCGTTCGGTAGCCTTCAGCTCGGCGCCCTCAGAGCCATCTCACTAGCTCTTTGGCCGAAAGCAATCATTTATTTTGGCAATCATTTATTTTGTCAAGCCTCTGACCTCATATGGCGGTTCTATTGCTCAACTTTATACATAGACTGTTGTGAAATGCCTGCATTTAAATTATTTCGCAATCTCGCAGACACACCCCAGCAACAGAAACACGAAACTACACAAGAAAACTAATGCAATTTAATGTAAAGGTAAACTTATACTCCTCAAACTTTAGGCCCATGCCATGTTTACAAATTTCAGCATTTCCATTAGGCGAAAAACACACGCAGACGCATATAAATGTTTTATAACCGACTTCAGTGCGTCTGCTGATGTCTTGGGACTTTAAAATAGTCTTCATTACTCCATTGTCTATAATTAGAAACTGCTGACTCGGGAAGTAGGAGCAGAAACTCTAGAAAGACGAGACTATAATTAGGATGTGGTTGCCGGCAAAGGGGGGGCTTTCATTGGGCAGGAGGGGTCTTGAGATTGACACGTTTCAACGCTGATACTCGAGAAGCTGATTGCCAATCGGAATTTGTTGATGGATTCAATTCGATTCGAAAGGGGGGAAACCGAATCGATTCGTAATGTAAATGTTTGTCTCGAATGGTGCGTTATCAGCTTCCAAATTTCATCGGAACAGCAACACAGACCCCCAAAACGTAAACACAGATTGACAGGCAAGCCAAGGGCGAAAATAAAATGGAACTAAATAAGACACGAGTCCCAGACTTAGAGACAAACATAAGTTCAATAAAAATAAACTGGAATTAAGCATAAACCAATAAGACACGGGCACGACAATATAAGAAACGAAAGCCCCACTTTGCGTGTACTTGCAGCTGTGCCTAGCGAATTAGTTGGAAAACTAAACATTTACTTATGAAATGTAAACCCTATGATCTTCTTTTAATAGTGCTATTACCAGTTTCATATAAGATTTGAGTGTTGAGAACTGGTTTATTTGTACACCTCTTGAAGTCGAACTAAATTTAAAAGTTGATTCTAACTGTGTATTTACAAAAACTTAAAAAGATATCGACATTTCTTAAAGACGATGTAAATTTTAAAGTTGATTCTAACTGTGTATTTACAAAAACTTAAAAATATATCGAAATTTCAAAATAAAAAATCTTAAATTGCTTTTGAATTTGAAAATTCTTAAGAAAACATTAAAATCCAGATTTTTTCATTAAAATTAAATGAATAAACTACATGATTATTAAGAAAAAAAACAACAAATTTTGGTTACTCATGCATTACTATTATTTGTTTCCTATAAAAATTCCATTTGTGAAAGATCATTGTGTTTTCAAAAAGATAAGACTTAGTCGCTTAGTTTGAGTTATAGATCATTTCACTAGCATATTTCTCAAAATTGTGAAATATTGTATTTTGCCAGCTGCTAATTTCGCGAAAACCACTGTATCAGATTTTGGGCTTGAGTGTGTGTGAGAACGCAGTAAAACAAACTGGTCTCAAGTCTCGAAAATATGCGCTCAAGGTCGGTCAACGGATTTGCTTTTGTTGCTTTTTCAAAAGACAACAACAAAAACAAAACAAAAAAGACAACAAAAGCAGCTGCAACTTAAAAAAAGCAGTGCGAAAAAGACACAAGATCGCTAAAACTGAAATGCAACAAGCGCCGCCGCGAGAAAGAGAGGGCGAGACTTAATTAGAGAGGGAGCCCGAAAATTCTGCCAGCGGAAGCGGCGGCGGCAAACGTAAATTAAAAGCAATTGTAGAAATTTCCTGAGTTGGCGAAAAATATTTATGAAAACAGTAATGTTGGTTGTTGTCGCCACCCGCGCACAAATACACTGAACCAAAATTTAAATAGGAAACCAAAATAAATGATCATTGATCATTAAGATATTACCGATGGGTAAGATTAAACTCGCGTATCTAAGAGATACTACCTTTGAAATGATCTGTAATTTTTTGAATTTTTTTGGTCTAATGTTGCTATGAATTTTATAACTTAAAACTTTAAAAAATTCTGTCAGAATTAAAAGTAGGTTACTTAGGAATCGTTTTGGACGAACAACAAAAACTCGTGTATCCATAAAAATCTTTTAAGTAGAGTTCAATTCAATATTAAAATATTTTATATTCAGAAAACTGTTATGTAATCTAATACAAAGGTAAAAATTATCATTACGTAATTTTGTTCACTTTGGAGCTCTTTTGAATTCAGAATTTAACTGAATTTAATCAAAAGAAATTTCTAAAAAATTTCTAAGAAATTTCACTAAAATTAGAAGTTAATCCGGGAACCTATCAAAATTGAATTACTATTGAAACTTTAAAAAATATTTCTCATTTCTTTCAAGGAATCTAAATGAGAATCTGATGATCTTTTGTTTTTCCCCGTGCATTAGTGCTATTACACCCACACACAGACACCCGCGAGGCTGCGCCGTTATTTTCCAGTAAATATTTGAATTCCGCGAAGCGAATGGAAAGGCAGCCAAACAACTTTTGCGGTTATTAAGCATAGGATAATAAACACAGAAGAAGCAGAGCAACGGAAAAAAGGCACGCATGATCAATGGGGAATGGGGGACTATGGTGGGAAATCAGGGAGAGGGAGCGGGAGAGCAGAATCCACTGCCATGTGCCAGCTAGCCGTCTCGCTCTAGCGCCCGCAACAAGTGCACGCAACAGCGGCTTAAAAAGCCAAAAGGAGCCACCAAAAACTATATAGAATCTGGGAAACCGAATAGGATTTATAATATATTGTAAGTTTAACTCACTTTATCCAGACACTTGAGCTCCTCGATGGGATAGACCACCTTTTGGCAACGCGCACAGGTTTTATTCATCTTGCCGCTTTTCTCCTCCTTTGTTTTTTACTTCTTCGAGTACGAGCGTACGGGTGTGTGTATGTATAAGGGATTTTATTTACACACCAGGATATTGGATATTATTATTGTTAACTCTGTAATTTTCACTGCACTCCCCGATTTCCGCACGAAAAAACACACTCGGCTCAGTTTTGCATATTGTTTTGCGGATTTTCTTCTGGTGATCTGCTGGCGATTTCAAGAACCTGATCGGATCGGAATAGGAACTATGGGAATGTATTTGTTTTGTGTGCAGGTATGAGCCGAGAATTTGTTTCACACTATTCACAAAAACATCTAATAACTGGTTTGCTTGGTTGTTGTCGTTAGCGTTATATAAATAACTGATCGATCGATCGTAACTCTTTTTCTTTCGTTTTGTTTAAACCAATTTACACTTTTTCGCTCCGTTTTTTTTTTTTTTTATTAATTTTCAGCTGTCGCGGCTGCGCTGCAGGTAAAAAAAGCGACGCGCGCAGAGGAAAGAAGAGGAAGAGCGACTGCCGTGGGCGTTTGTCTCGATTTAATCCCGTTGTTCTTGATAAGACCGCCCAGAAATCGTAATCTACCGTTTGTGTATTAGCTTTTTAAGGTGAATTTGATTGAGGCGCGACACGAAAAACGAAAAACGCGACAGTCCGCGATAAAGCAACTTCGCTCCGTTCGATTAAAAGGTGTATCCGCAAAATAGACGCAACAAATAGATGTGGAGATGTGAAATGGATCGCACCACACACGCCTGTCACACACTTTTCGAATCGGTTCACCAAGTAAGTCAAAAATCTATCTCGAATTCGCCTGCGCGAGGCGAACTGAACGGTTTGCTGGCGGTTAGTGAAATCTGAATCTGCTCTCGGAGCACAAAAAACGTAAGAAAACGTAAGTGTCGGCAAAACGTAAGGCAATATACTAAATATATATACAAATATACTAAAATATACGACGCATCAATCGGTAACATCGATGTTTGTCACGCTATGTCTTCCATCTCTTGCGTTGCTTACGTTTTCTTACGTCAAACGCAGCCGGCTGGGCGGAGTGACCATCGGTGGGTAGCGCAATATTTCCCGATTTCTCTTTACTTCCCTTCTTGGCCGCATTGGCGCCACAGGTTTTAGTTCGAAATATTGGGGTGGAACTTATTTTTAGCTGAATCGCGACGTAAGGTTGCACAGTAATTACTGAAATATTTGTATACGGAAAAACATTCTTAGAGTTAAAATTTAATACATCTAAAGAAGAAATTCAAGTAAGTTTATATTTTTTTGTAATGTAAACATTCTCTGTTTATTTGTATAAATAAATATATACTAAATAACTATTTCATTATTAATATTATAGATATGTAAATCCATAAAAAAGAGAACAAATTTAACGGTTTTCCTGTTCCCCAACGCAATTACGAGCAAAAAGCTATCGCTTGCGATAGACCGATACGCCGATTTCTCCGGACCGGCTGTCACACAGGGTGCCCGCGGCACTTCACCCACCACCCCCGAATCCTTGGAGTTTTTACTATCGAATTTTCGGTGTGTGTCCATTTCCTGCAGCTCCCAGGACGTAGGATTAAAATTAAGCCAAAAACCCATGAAAATCTGTGCAAATTGATGGCCAAATACATGGAGAGCAAAGTGAAAAACGAAATCAATGTGTAAATAGCAGGCAACAGAGTCGAATCAGATTTTTTCGCTCTGCCAAATCGCGAGTGTGTCACCCATTTCTTTGTGCTTCACTTTTTTTCTTCCTGCCGACCAGACAAAGAAAGTTATGAAAGTTGTGCAACTTTAACGGGACAACCTTAAGCAACGAATAACGGTTAAGGGCAAATAGATAATTTACCGCTGCATAATGAGAGGCGTAGTATTAGCTGCATCCCTTTCTCACCCCTTGCAACGCCCTAAAGTAGGCAAAGTGGAAGTAAACACGCACACAAATGCCACCGTTGGAAAATCGATAATCCGTGACGTGTGTGAGTGAGACGAGTGCCGGTGTGTTCTATCGACCGACTGGCACAATAACAACAACAACAACTGGCTGGCTGGAAGGAACGCGCGGGTGCGAGCGAGACAGCAGACGCGAACAGCAGGACAAGTGTAAACAAAGCACAAAAAGCTGTAAAAAGGAAAACAACGAAGCAAAGGATATATCAGAAATTATAAATAGCATTACCCCCCCATAAAGCACAATCATTATTCGCAACATTATACGCGGCCAAAGGAATTACTACACGAATGCCAATCAGCTTTTTCTGAGCAAAATGCAGACGCTGCGCAAGAAAACGAGTCCTTGTAAATGTAAGTTTTCTTAACATTATAATGATGGTCCATTAACGGAAATGATCTTTAAGTGTTTATAATCCTATAGGAAGTGTTAGATATTTTGAAAAAAAAAAATCATCTTTTGCTATCTTGTGCCTTCTAATGTCTTTACATATTCACCTAGACTGGTTTTGGCTAATAGATAGGGAAAACATAAATGTCTAATGTTAAATCTAATATTGTTTTGAGCCTTAGAAATTATACTGGAATTCTATAAATTCCATTTCTTTAGTTACCCATGATGATAAAAAAAACAAGCCTAAACGCAATCATTTCAAATGTCGATAGACAAAAACAAAGAACCCATCGATCTTTCGTTCCACCCCTAAGCCGTGTTATCGATAGCCGACTCGGACAGCATCTGCCAATCGTATAGCAGCTGCTGCGCCGGCGTCGCAGTTGTCGGCAGGTGTTGTTGCAGTTTTCCCAAAAAATCAAAAATCAGAACAACAATGGCATTTCCAAGAGAGATCCGCGTTTTCTGTACTTACTTTTTCGCCATTAAAAGCACTAAATAATAGAGTGAAATCTGTGTACACTCGCGAGTGCCTCGATGTGTGTGTGTTTTTTGTTTGTTATTTGATTTGATTGAACAAACTGCGACAGTCCAGTCAAAAGAGAGAGAGAGAACGAGAAGAGAGCATCGTGTTCATGCTCATTCGTATTTATTCATTCCATGATCGCGGATCTCGCAAGAATTTAATTAAATCTATAGCGTCGCGAAAAATCGTTGTGGAATACATTGTGTTTGTCTTTTGTCCTCCATTGTGTGCTCTTCTTCTTCAACCAAACAACCCACCCACCCACCTCCAGCTCATCCCAATGGAAATGTCAACACAAATACACACAAAATAGAGGCCAGAGGAATGCGACAGTGATTTTGTTGACACTCCAGCGAGCAGAGTTCCAGAATTCCAGACTTCCACACTTTTCCCCGGCCAGCGGTTTCCCAATGAGCTGCAGCTGCTCCCACTGGTGAAACATGGTCAAATCCCTGGTGGCCAAGTTGTCCACAGCCTCCTCGAATCTCTCGTTGGCCAGCACTTTTGGCGGCGGCAGCGGCGCCGCAGAGGAAACGAATTACGCAAAACGTTAGCGAAAACAAACCAAGCAAATACACAAATCACAAACAAACACAGTGGTCCCTGCACAGAGAGAAATTCCGAAAACTATTTTCAAAACTAAGACTTAAAAAAACAGTTACCACAAGATCAAAGTGAATTGTTTTTTTTTAATTGTATCAGCAAAGTTAGGTGTTCCCTAAAATAACAGCGTTCTAATCATTATGAAAGAGTTGACATCATTAAAATATTTAATCTGAAAGTTCTTTAATTTGAATAGTTTTCACATTGATAAGACGAAGCTATAAATATATAGGTACAAAGCTCTGTCAATAAAAACCTAGATGCAATTACTATATTACAATAACTATGACGGAATTTGAGTAATTAAAATACTATTACAATTTTGAATAAATATCGTGTGGAGTTTTTAATTTATTAAACAAGAATTAAGGGGAACAAAGCTATTAATTTAAAGTTTACAGTGAAGCAAGGTTAACAATCATAATTTCTAAAGAATTTCAAGTGTTCAAAAGAAAGGAAAAATTTGATATGAGGTAGTAATTAATATTTTTATTATTCCCAGAGGATCAATAAAAGTTAAGATTGTTCACTAATGACGAAAGGGAATCCAAACCATTCTTTTCTTTATACAATTATGTTAACTTCTTTTAAAAATTAATTCATTATTGAAACTTAAAATTTTTTCTTAAAATATGCTTTGTGATTTAAAATCAATACCTACTATATTGGTATTAAATTTTTTTTTTAAATGTTAGATGAAATGAAAAATTGGTCAGTGTACATATCTGGTTTCGCTCCATTACAACCACATTGGAGAATATTTAAAAAACAATTAAAAAATTTTGTATCATTTTAAAATTTTTGATAGAAGATTTAGTATTTCGTTTCTTTATGTTATTTAAAATTTCAGTGATTTCAAATTGTAGTCTTATCTATCTTAAAGGGGTTAGCTTTATATAAATTCCAAAAGTTTCACTGAATAAACCCAAACCTTATTAAAGGTGGGTTCTACTAGGTTAATTTAGCCACACCCCGAAATCCCAAGGCTTCCAAAACTGGCGAGTGACCACTGCATTGTGTAAAACATTTTCGCCAAACAAACATGAACCGAATACACACCCTAGCAAACACAAAGACTCATTCTGGCATTCGATTTTCCACTGCTTTTTTCCAGATCGCAATGATCCGGGACGCTTTTTCGGCGATGGCGTTCAGTTCAAGGCAAAGCTCATCGGCATTCTGGAGGTGGGCGAGGCCCGTGGCGATCGGATGTGCCAGGAGGCGCTGCAGGACCTCAAGATGGCCATCCGGGCGGCTGGGGAGCACAAGCAGCGGATAACCATCCATGTGACCATCGACGGGCTGCGCCTGAGGGATGAGAAGACGGGTGACTCCTTGTACCATCATCCGGTGCACAAGATATCCTTCATTGCGCAGGATATGACGGATTCGAGGGCCTTTGGCTATATCTTCGGATCGCCGGACAGTGGCCATCGGTTCTTCGGCATCAAGACGGACAAGGCGGCCAGCCAGGTGGTGCTGGCCATGCGCGATCTCTTCCAGGTGGTCTTCGAGCTGAAGAAGAAGGAGATCGAGATGGCGCGCCAGCAGATCCAGGGCAAATCCCTGCACGACCACGCCAGCCAGCTGGCCTCCCTGTCGTCGCTGAAGTCCGCCGGCCTGGGCGGGATGGGTCTGGGTCATTCGGATTTGGCCAGCGGAGGCATCTCCTCCAGCCATGCCCTCACCCTGCTGGGCAGTAGTCTAGGCACCTCGAACGGAACGAGCAGGTTGGGTGTCAATTTAGACGTGGCCAAGGCATCGGGTTCGGCGGCCAAAGAGGTAAGTATTTGGCATTCGGTATTTGACGACCAATGTTAATGAACCCCGTAATCTTACAGATATCTCCCGAATCCGTGGCCGATCTGGTGGACCTCGAGCAGGAGCTTACCTCACTGCAGCGGGGAATCAGTCAGATGGAACGGATCACGCCCAATGAACCCACTTCTATGGCCTCCAGTGGTGGTGGCGGCAGTGGGGGTGCTGGCCATCCCTCATTGGCCAAGTCCGCCAGCGAGGATGATCCTTTCGGAGACTCGTTCATCTATGTGCCCTCCTACAGCATCCTGCCACCGCCACCAGATTCGGGACGCAACAGGCACAAACCGCTGCCCAACAAAACTCCCGAGACGGTGGCTAGTTTGGATGCCATGCTCTCGCCGCCTCCTGGTGCTAGTAGCTCGCAATCTCCGGCAACAGCAGGATTTCAGGCTGCGGATAACGACGATGACAACTGGCTGCAGGAACTGGACCAACAGAACGATGTCTTTGATACTACCAAAGTGGTGACCAGCAGTGGATTGGGTTCGGTTTTGGCCATGGCTCCGTTGGCCTCCAGCGAATCCACTGCCACGCCCACACAACAACTCACGGAAGTCGCTACAGGATCAGGACCTCTGGCTGATTTGGATATTGGTTTGGGTTCGACATCTGGAAATGAGGATCTAGCCTCGGCCATCTTGTCTTTGGGTGAGTTGAAAAGAGCTTCGCTCCTCCGCCTTCTCATCATTGAAGTTGTCACATCTTGTGTGGAATTCTGTCGCTTTGTCATCTCCATTAAAGCGATGAAAGAGCTGTCTGTGATCGTCTGGGGAGTGGTCAGTGGTCAGGGGAACGAGATGTGTCCGCCCGCCAAGGGAACAACAATTGGGAGAGTTCTTGGGTCAAATTAATTGAACTGAATGGAATCGTTTGGTGTAGAACTATTTGCAGATTCTTTTAAATATTATTATCTCATATATAGATATTTTTCCATTAAAACATCTTGTTAATCTGTTTTTAAGATTGTTTTTACTCATCAGTTCATTCAAATATGCCTTTGTTACTTTAAAGGAAGCATTTGAAAACCTTTTTGTGGTTTTAATATTCCAGGCAGCTCTTTCTATTGCAGTTATGGTTTTATTTCCTTATTTTTTACTTGTACATCGTGCCTTTGGTTTTTCTTAGTTTAGTGCTCTTCCTTTTTCCAATCCTAAACCCACTCACAACTTATTAACTACATTATCCTCTAAATAGGCATTTTCCTTTGTGGTTTTTATACCTTCGGAACAAACCGAAGATCTGAACATTCTAGTATTTCTTCTGAGCTCTTTGAGTTTTACTCTTGTTTTTGATTTTGTGCCAATTTGGAATTCGGTGCCTCCACTTGGAGCTGTACTCTTGCCCCGATATCTCTGTCGTTTTTCCTCATACCTTCTGTTCCATTGTGCAGATGCGTTCACGGATCTGGATCCGCTGGGCACGGGACGCACCAGGCCGTATGTCGATAAGAAATACTTCTTCCAAGAGCTAAAGAATCCGCCGAAGAAGCTGCTCAAGGAGCTCAGCTCCGGCAGCCAGGCGGGTCTTGGCTTGGGTCTCTCCCTGGGCCAGCCGGATGGCCTCTTTCCGGAGGAAAGCACCACCATCTCCACAACCACCACAGCTACTAACATCACCGCAGGTACTAACCAACCACAACCCGATAGCCATTTCCGCACAGAGAAAAAATGTCGGTTGCTTTCTTAATTTACCATCAAAACTATTGGATTAATAGAAATTGTATAGTTATACATTTATTAAATCTATTAAAGTTGCTTTTAAATCTCACTTTAAGAAAAGGCATCAGTCAATAATTATTTTTTATGAAGATTTTTTCTAAGAACAAGAGAATTTTTTCAAATATTTTTATTATGTACCTAAAAAAGTTAATAGATGTAAAAAATGGTTAGTAAGTTTAATAGTTTTTCCAGGCGATTTACCATAGTTTTCATAACATTTTCGTAACATTTCATTACCTTTTTTTTGACATCAAAGCTCTTCTTTTAATTGTAACAAAAAAGGATGCCATAATTACATAATTTTCGGTAATATTTTTTCTCTGTGCACTTAGAAATCGCATTGAGTAAGCAGCTCTCTAAAGTTTGCACTTGCACCACAGGAAATCCGCTCCAGAACTCGGCTAACACACTAACCACCACCACCGCTAGCACCGCCGCCAGTCTGGGCCAGCTACTGTCCACGGTTGCTCCCAGTCCAGATCCCCTGCCCGTTACCATACCCACATCCACATCCATTTCCCACTCGATCACCCCGAGCGCTGAGCTGAAACTGTTGCTTGGCCATGTCACTAATCCGCCTAATCCCACCGGCCACTATTATACCACAGAACCGCCCACGCTGTCCTCGCTGGAGGATCCCCATCCGCCGGCAGACCCTGTACTGCTGCCCAGGGATACGGATCCGTTCTCGCCAACGCGCAAAAAGAGTGATCCAGATCCGTTTCAAGAGGGCGATCTCTTTGCCAAATTGGATGCCTTCGAGTTCGAGGCTCCGCCGGCGGTTCCAGCTCCCTCGATCCCAAATTTGGTGCCGGAATCAAAAGCGAATGTATTCAATGGACCACTGCAGGTGCAATTGCCACCGGAGAAGGAGTTGCAGCTTCAACAGCCTCCGAGTACGGTGAGGAATCGTCCCACGGCCTCCGTTTCCGCCCTGCCAACTGGTGGTGGAGCCCTGGATGTGATCTCCAGCATAAGCAACAAGAAGATGCCCCATCTCTTTGGCCAGGCCAGATCATTTGGCAAGTCAGGTTCGGATATCGGATCTAGTGTCAATATGCGACGTTTGCAGGAGAGTGATTCGCTCAGTGAAACAGAGGCTGCTCCCGAGCCACCGCCACGTCCAGATTCGACTCCATACTCGGAACCGCCGCCGCTGCCGCCCAAAAAGCAGTTCAGCGACCTGGTCATCCGACCTTCATCTACAAATCCCACTCCACCGCCAACAGCTGGAAGGTATGAGTACTTGAACAGTAGTGTAACAGCGAGGAGGACTATGTCATCCGTCGATGCACCACCCATTCCATTGCCATCGCGTCGCGTGGGTCGCTCCGATGGCTGCTTTCCGGGTCCGGGAAGGCCACGGAAACCAGGGCACACCGAGGATGACTACCTGGCGCCGCTGGGAGCTCCACCGCCACTGCTGCCGCCTCCCAGCCAGGGACCTTCGGCTCGAGCGAGACCACAACGACAGGCTTCGCTGGGCAGACCGCAGGATATCTACGAGAACAAGGCAGAGATTCTGCAGGCCCAAGCTCAGGCGCAGGCTCAAGCCCAAGCGCAGGAAGTATCATCCACTACCCTGGCTCCCGACATCACTCTAACCCAACTGCTGACCCTGGGCATGGATGACTTGGCTGTTAGACTAAACGTTCCGGCCAGCAAGCTGAGCACCATGACCCTGGTTCAGTTGACCTCCTATCTCTCCGAGTATTTGTCCAGCGAAAAGAGTCAGGTTCACAGTCAGGAGCGAAGATCTTCGCCAGCCAATCCAGCTCCAGCACCAGCATCCACAGCGGCCGTGTTTAAAGTGAACTTTGATCAGCAGACCTCCTTTGTGGCCAAGTTCGACGACACCTTCGGCGAGGACGAGCTGGTGATGCCATCGGGCTCCTTGGATTCCACCTTTGTGGCCAACTTTGCAAACTTCAATGAGGCTCCCACTCCTGTGCCCATGTCAGCTGTGTCGCCAGTGGTTGCCACAGTACCATCAGCGGATCGGTATGCTGTTTTCCGTGAAATCATCGATCAGGAGCTGCAGCAGCAGCAGCAGGAAACCGATCTTATGGGCGACTTGACTCCTCCGCCAGTGGATGAGACGCAGGCAATGGAAATTTCAGAGGGCTTGGAGCTGAACAATGTCGGTGCAGAGCTACCAATTGACGCCTTGGAGGTCAAGCCAGCGCCCAAGATCGATACGAAGATCACCGAGGTGGTGGCCCAGGCCAAGGATCGTTATGCAGCTCTAAGAGACATAATCCTGGTGGAGAATCTTTTCGACAAACCAGCGATTGCCGCCGCCACGCAGCCGGAGAAGGAAAAGGATCTGCTGCAGGACTTTCCCGAGTTTAGCGATGAGTTTAACGAAGATCATGATCTCCGTCAGATAATGGATCATCAGGACGTGCCAACGCATTCCAGAGATCGCCATGGTTTGGTCGACAGCAGGGGCTTCCCAACCGAGCCTTCATCATCTGCTTTGACGGTGGGGGATGATGACGAGGACGAGGATGCCGATGCTGGTGGTGAGAGTAGTCTGGATAGCAATGAAAAGGATGCGGAACCAGTCAGCGGGCAGGATCAGTACGAAAAGCTCTCCACTTCTACACAGCAACTGGATGCCGCTGCTCCGGTTCTAGAGGATGTGCCGCAGCAATCTCTGCCACCTAAGCAGGATCAGAAATTCCTATCCGTACTCACTGCGCCCGGTGGTGGAACCAAAGATGACATTGAGATTGATGAGCTCATGCACCGGGCCATTTCGAATCTTTCCCTAGACTCAAGGGATCGAATTTCGCCGGCCACCTCTTCGGCAGCACCATCAAGAGGAGCTCCCGGCTTGCACACGCCTTCCCAATTCAATGATGTCAGCACTTCGCCCATTCCTCTCCAGAAACCAGTGATGGGCCCATCGCCAGTGCCCTCCCAGCTGTCGGCTGTCTCCCAACTCATCGATACGGCAACCAAGCAGATGATGGGCGACAAGGAGCGGGAGAAGCAATCCTGGGCCACGTTCGATTCTCCGAAGTCAAAGGGCAAGGCTAGGTTGACGCTTCCGCCACCGCCACCTCCTGCTTCCAACACTTCCCAGCCGGATACAGTGGAATCGCCTTGCAGTTCAGATCCCCGGGATGATGGATGGTCGAAGCAACAGCGTCGCTGGGCAAAGAAAGAACGCCAGCAGACATCCTCATCCTCCCGAGATCTGAGTCCCTGGGATGATGAGACACCAGAGTATCTGAAGCGTCGACAGTTGGCCGCCGCCCAAATGGCACATCCTCACCAGCCGCAAATGCCACCACAGCCACAGCATACAGATCGGCATGGGTACTATATGCGACACGCCAGGAGGATGAACTCTTGTGACGAGGATTACGAGTAAGCAAAGGAATAAGGGCTACGTTTTTGCATGCATTCATTTATTCATAATTTTAGCTACGATGCGGAGTTCATGGCTCGCCGGGATCAGCAGCAGCAGCAACAGCAGCAGCGGAAGTTCAAACACGGTCTATCCCGCAGTCGGGATAATTTCGATTTGGGTGAGCCCTTTCTAAAGCCGATTTCCCAACACATCGCTTATGTTATACCCTGCCTTTTGTATTATTACAGAATCCCCCAGCTGGTACCATCATCCGGCGCATCACACCTGGTCGCCGCAGGAGATCGAACAGGCACGGGCCAGATCCTTTGAGCGTGCAGCCTACGAGCGATCCAGCTATGGGCCACCACCGCCTATCTACGACAAACGTGGCCAACTGAGGAATAAATATCGCGGTGATCACAGGGATAGGGATAGGGATCGCGAGAGGGAGTACCGAGACTACGCTCGTCCCAGCTACGATTTTGACTATGAGAATGTCTACGAGGAGCGTGGAGGACGTTCACCAATGGCCTATAAGCCAGGAAGGGGTGGAGGTGATTATCTGTACGACAGAGAAAGGGACAGAGATCGGGAGCGCGAACGTAAATCCTTCGATCGGGAGAGTCTGGAATCTTATGAGAGTGCCACCAGGCGTCGTCGCAGTTTCGGCAGTGGAAACGATGTCTATGGCAGCCTGGACAGTCGAGATGACTACCGTGGCGAAAGGGAGCGAGATCGTGAACGTGATCGCGAACAGATGAAGACCCGTTCTCTAAGGAAGCCCACAACCACATCGGGAAAGCTGAGGATTAGTGGCGACATAGACTACGAGCAAGACTCGGAGCAGGACTTCCAGCAGCGATCGGGTGTGCGCAGTCTGCAGCGTCCAAGTCAACTAGGCGGAGATGTGGTGTTGCCCTCCAATGCGGTAGTGGGTCCACAGCGATTGCGCAAGAGCAGCGGTTCCAGTCCCTGGGATGGCGAGGGTATGTGCCATTGTTGAGTTTACAAACCAATATGTTACTTATATATTGTATACATTGCAGAGCCCGCCTTGCCTGGCCAAAAATCCTGGAAGCGTCCAGCTAGTGCCGCTGAAACCGAAAGACGTCTGGCGGAGAGTCGAAGGGCGGCAGCCTTGGGTCAAACTCCCTCGGATGGCGAAAAAGAACGAAGGTCAGTAGGGTTATTCTTAAAAAGAAATTATGCATATATATTTATAAAAACCCCTACTCTTCCCGCAGATTCCGCAAGAAGACCCGCGCCCGCAGCGCCAAGGATTTAGCCACAGTGGGTGCTCCCAGCGCAGGCACATCCGCACCCTCCAGATCAGGATATGGGCGTGGCATTCGAGACAATTACGACTACATGTGTCCTGGCCAGCGTAACGATGACGACGACGATGATGATGAGGACTATGTGGATGATGAACCGCCAACAGATGAGGATAAATTCGAAAGATTGAACCGACGACGCCATGAGATGCACCAGCGGATGTTGGAGTCCGAACGGCGGCACATGGAACGTCATCAGCCTCCATCGCTGGCTAAGCTTCCTGGCCAGAATCGCACCCGTGGCGTGGTGGTAAACAGTGACTATGGCTTTGTGGACAGCTATGAGCAGACTCCAACGCCGACGCCACGTTCGAATGCCAGCAGCACCGGACCCGGTGGCCTGACGATGAGTGGCGGCGAATCCTCCGCTGGCGTGACCAGTTCCAAGTTTAATTTCGACGATGGATTCGAGTCGGATTTCAATCAGAGCTCTCCGCCGCCAGCCCCAGCAGGAACCGCCTCCAGCTGCAATTCAACGCCCGCGGGTCCAGTTTCCGCGAATGCCAACAACGGTGGATCAAAGAGCCTGTTCCGCTTTTCCAATGATTTCTCGGATCGCGAGAAACGGGAGCAGTTCGAAATGGACACACCACCAACCTCAACGCCACCTATTACCCAGAAACTGCGATTCGATGATAATGTTAAGGTCTCCCAGTTCGATGATGCTGCCTTTGAAGATGATTTTGCCAAGGCGTCATTTGATTTCGAAAAGGAACAAGCGGGACCTGGACCGCAAGGAGCTGGAGGGTCGGGTGCTATGAGCAGGAAACAGAATATGCGAACCAGCAAGCTGCAGCAACGGCAAGAGCTAATCAAGAAATCTGAGTCGGTGAACATATTTGCCAAAAAGCAGGAGGATCCCTTTGAGGACGACGAGTTCTTCAAATCACCGGAACAGGAGCAGGCGACGGATCAGCACAACGACGATGCGGAGACCGGCAAGTTCCAGTGGAGCGAGGACGCGAACTTTGCCAAGTTCGATGAAAATATGTGATTTGACCAACTCTTTGCCAAGGCATCGGGGCAGCGACCGGAGCCGGACATCGACGGCCACAACTATGCGGAGATCGATGTGGTCAACGACACGGACTTCTCCTTCCTGACCAATCTCAACCATTACTATCAGCAGCAGCGACTGCAGAGCCTGCGCCAGAGCTTGAACCGCCATGTGTACAGCAATCTGCCAGCAGTCCAGCAGTCTCAGGAGCAGGTGAATCAACAGCCGATGACCAAATCCATCTCCACATCCACAAGTCCGTGGCATGCGCCGAAGGCCAAGGCCAAGCCACTGCAGCAGCTGCTAAGGAAGCCAAAGAAGTGGAAGCTCAAGCGCACCCTAGATGACTTTCTCAAGTGTCTGATCATTGCCTCCTCGGAGCATGTGTACGATTACGATGTGCTGTGGTAGGATCTGGAGGATTGGGAGGATAAGGAGCAGTCCAAGGATCCGTCTGGATGAGAGAGAGGGAAAGGGAATCCGTACGATATATAATTCGCCACATATATCTAGTCAACTCAATCGCCATTTAAACTTGCAATATCGTAACAATCCCTGAAGGACTTGTACTCCCAGCTCTGCCCAATCCAAAAGAGATCAGATCCTGTTTCCAAACCAGATTGTATATATAGATATATCCACAGGGAGATTCCAACCAAGCCATAGAGAAAATTTAAACGAGAACAAGCGTTTGTTAAAGCTACTCCTTCACACTCGACAGATAATGAAATACTCACTCCCCGAATCATCAATCGATCTGCAATCGATCAAACTAACGAAAGCAACTAATTAATTGCCTATGCTAGATGTCGTCTAACCCATATAACGATTTATCCAAAGTGCAACCATTGTGCTAGCATACAATACTACATATATATTCCTAGGATACGTTTATGTTTATGCCTACTACGAGCATCATTTTATGATTGATTACATAGTTAACTAACGACTAATTAGTTTAATTCCACGGCAATGTCGCATCAAAGTGTTTTATGATTTAACTACTTATATACAAAAATATATAAATATATATATTTATACGTAACTGAACGATCAACCGAAACTGAACGATCAAGTAACTCCCAAGCAGCTAAATAATAATATACGATAATTATACATACAAGCATATTCTTATATGTAATGCAATTATACGAGTACGATAGTTATTGTCAAGACTCTCTGTGTAGGAGATGTTTAAATTGGTTTTTGTCTCATCATTTTGTTCTATCAATTAAACTGTGAGAAGCATAATGAGAAGGGTATTATTTATTGGGGTGATGTGGATTAGTGGAAAGTAAGGGTTGTTAATTTGTATTGGTATTTTAAATACCTAGTTTCAAATAAGAATTTAAGCCGTTTCAAAATTATTATATTGTCAGTTTCGTAAGATATAGGTACACATATCCATATCAGATCATGCAAATTTGTTGCTGCTTTGCCAAACCTGCCATTTAGACCTCTTTTGGAGCCAAGTGCCTGACAATTTGGAGCGTCTATAAGGGAGGCCAGCTGTGCTCTTCTACTCCCAGAAACTATAAAAACAAAGAGCCGATCCAAGTCAATGCATATTCAGTTTTTGGCTTTTGCATCAGCAGTAATCTCCCAGAAATGCAGCAAATGGTAAGCAGATATTTGGGAAATCTCAGTCTAGTTTTATTAGAATATATAAATTCTCATTTCAGTTGATTATTGTATCGCTGGCTTTGTTGGCCAGTGTGGCAGCCGGACCTGCGGTTAATCCCGCTTTGTTTCCGTCAGGATCACCTTTTGGTTTCTATTCAGGATCTGCGGCTCCATTTGCCGCCGCCTATGCAGGTGCTCCTTTTGCTGCTGCACCTTTTGTTAATCCTTTAGGTGCTCCTTTGGGTGCTTCTCCTCTGGCCATTTCCAGCGGCCAGCGCTTGGACTACTTCAATCAATTTAATGCCGCCTTTGCTCCGACTGCTCCGGCTCGCATCCTGGCTGCTAATCCATTCGCAGCGGCTGGCCCTCGTTTCATTCAACCAACTCGTTTTATTGCTGCTGGGGTGCCGGCACAATTTTTTGTTTAAAAACCACAAATATTTACTTTTTTAAATGTTAAACTTATAAATAAATGTAAAAGTTGGTTGACCACAAAAACTGCGTCACGATGAAGTATTAAAATGATATTAGGCACAACAAAGTTTAGATATCACCAAAGTATTCGATATACACGTTTTATATATTTTTATAATCATATACAAATAATTTCATTTGGTATTGATAATTATCACAATAGATTAAAGGTGGGTAATGTTTTTTCTTTGATAAAACGATCACCAGACACCCTTGTAACCATAACCATAGTTATATGTGGGATAGTAGTAGGGATAGGTGTACTGATAGGTGGAGGCATAGGGATAGTTGTAGGCGGGATACGAGGGATAGCCTCCGCTGTACTTTATATAGGTGTTCGGATAAGTGGCCACTGTGGTTGGGGGCACATAGACTCGATTCCAGTTCCGGGTGACAAACTGATGACTGGTGGCCACGGGAACCAAGCGGGGAATAGGAGCCGGAATCGCTGCAGGATATGCCGGTATCACCCCAGTTGTGGCAGTTGCTATGCTGGCTTGGGACAGTACCAGTCCCAGGAGCAAGTAGCCCAACATAATGCCTAGAACCTAGAATATTATGTTTAGTTAAGGTATATTTTAGGTAAAGTTTTCCTTAAGGATACTTACGATCTTCATGATGTGGCGGTAATCTTTGGGTTTACTACCTGGGCCGCTCGATCACTGGCCACTGTCCACTCGTAACTCATCGGAGTGTCTTTTATAGCAGCCCCCAGATTGGATTTGACTTTCAAATGCAGTTACCCTTTTACGGATGACCATCCATTTTTGGGCCACCCACTCGTCCAAGGGCAGATTTGCATTCCCAAAGAAGAGAAGGTTTTTATTTTTATATATAGATATCTTTATAGGGATGACGCAAGCGGAATTTGCAACCAGACAAAGGCTTCATGCCATTTAATTATGCTGCAATTCATTGATCGAAACCATTGATAAAAACAACTGAGTAAATAGAGTTATTCCTGGTGAGATATTTCGGTTGGCTATATAAATAGATCAGCAGCTGAGAGACCACCAAGAAGTAAAGATGAAGCTACAGTTGGCACTGGTCTTATTTGGCTTTACATTGGCCATGGCCCAGATTGTTCCCCGAGGCAGCTGGTGTCCTGTGCCAATCTCCCCGAGATTGCCAAGGCTCGGGGGGCCTGTTCGACTGATCATCATCCATCACACGGTCACAGCGTCCTGCTTCAATCCTCAGCAGTGCCTGTTGGCATTGAGGCAAATTCGAGCGGATCATCTGCGCAGGAAGTTCAGGGATATAGGCTACAACTTCCTGATCGGCGGCGATGGTCGGATCTACGAAGGCTTGGGTTTCGGCATCCGCGGCGAACATGCTCCCAACTATAATAGTCAGTCCATTGGCATTGCTTTCATTGGCAATTTCCAGGGTGAGTTATAAGTAGCTTGTTTATAGGATAAATATAAATTAACGTTTTCCTTTCATAGGTGGATTACCTCCTCCCCAGATGTTGCAGGCTGCCCGTACCCTCATCCAAATTGGTGTCCAGCGCCGCCAGGTTCTGCCCAATTATACTCTTGTGGGACATTGCCAGACCAAAGCCACAGCTTGCCCGGGAAAACATCTCCTCGAAGAGCTCAAGAAGTGGCCGCGCTGGCAGCCGAAACCTTAGGTTTGCAAAGGAATCCGAAAAATATTATAGAATATTTTAAGAACATACAACATTTTAAATGGAGAAAGGACCCTTAATTCTTTCCTTATATATTTAAGTCTTTAGTCTCATATAGCAAAAGGGATATTAACTCACTTACCGAATTGGTAATTCTATATACAAAATTCTATTATAGAAAAATTACGAACCAAAAACACTTGAATAAACAATTATTTCCCAAGTGTAAACATTGTTTTTGGGGATTTTATTTTTTAACATTCCTCTATTGATTCATCTAAGGTTTAAAAACAATTATTAAGAAACCTCACTTAGTTTTCACTTAATTTCCGATAATTCGAGTTCATTTTTCTCTTTACCCATAGGTACATTAAAAAGCTGTCGTTTATTTTAGAAAAAATTAAATTTAAAAACTATAAATAACTTTTAAAATTATGGAATTAGTTTTGCCTCCAGTGGGGCCAGGTTTTGATCTCGTTGTAGAGGGCATCACCGGGGCAGGAGGTGGCCTTGGTCTGACGGTGGCCAAACAGAGTGTAGTTCTCCTTGAGGTATCCACGTTGCTTGGCCAGCTCGATCAGATCCTTGGCGTTCTGGAGCATTTGGGCGGAGGGTGCATTGCGTTCGAAGTTGCCAATGAAGACGATGCCAATGCTCTTGCGGTTATAGTTTGGAGCATGTGATCCCTGGAGTCCAAAGCCACGACCCTCGTACACTTTTCCATCGCCGGCCACAATAAAGTTGTAGCCAATGTCACTGAAACTCCTGCGACCCTTGTGATCCGACTGGATGTTCTTGATCATGCGCTTGCACTGCTCGGATGTGGCGCACCCGTTGGGATTGTCGGAATGATGAATGATCACATAGTCCACGGCACCGGAAATCCTCGAAGGGGAACGAGCAGCCACTGCACCCCAACTGCTGCGGGGCTCAATCTGCAAGGCATCGGCGGAGAGAGCTAACCGGGGAAGATACTGTGATTAGCTAATCAGGTTTAGGAATGAGACAAGATTGATTGATTACCCAAAGAGAAGAGCGCTAGAGCAGCCACAAACTTAATTGCCGTTGATGTGTTCATCGTTTTGAGATTGGGGATTCTATAAAATTGTCTGGCTTACGGAGGCTGCTTAAATAGGAAATTCAGATTACGAAGGGAATCGAAACGTTAGATACCCTTTAATACTAGTTAAATCTAGTTATACATATATATATTTAAAAGGTTCAGAATATTAAGAGAAAACAACGAAGAACAAAAATAACCCGAATTAGTATAGCTAATTGCTTAAAAGTTTTTCAATCAGTTGAAAAATTATAAGATAAATATGTACTATAAAGATTAATTTTAACTTATTATAGAGGTTGATATGTAAGGGAAATACAAGATCAGAAAACTATTAGTAATTTTTAACAAACATATCAACTTTCTAAAGTAAACACTGTGTCATACTCCTCACAATAACAAAATACCTTTGTATAGGGTGAGTAAGCACCGATTGCGGTGAAGAACCTTATGGGGAATCACTTGCGCCCCCAGAGATAAGAAACTGCTCCCGGAGACCTGAAACACACGCTCGCGCTATAGACAAAAACATTGGGTGGTTATTTACATTATTATATTTAAATAAACTAAATAAAACAAAGTATTCCAAATAGTTATCCGAAATGTTAGTTCTCGATGTTCAATAGTTTTTTGGCAATGAGTTGTTTCTTGGTTTTCTTGGGCTGAGGTTTTGTTTTGCGGTTTTGAGGTTTCGTTTCGTCTTGTTTCTTGGAAAGCACCTCCGCTTGATTCACACTCGCTTTGATCTGGAGCTTTTCCATTAATGTTAGTGGTCGATCGGTGACCAAATCCTCTTGTTTTTTATGCACCATGGCTTGGTTGGCCACGCGTTTCCTCATCGCCGCCTTATTACCCTTTTCCTTCTGCTGCCGATTACGCAAATGGTTCAGTGCACGTTTGTAGTTAACCGCATACTGGATCTCAATGTCCGGTGAAACGTTGATCTCTTCGCCCAATCCTTTGCCCACATCGTTTAGAAGTTTCTTGAATGCAACCTGTTCTTGTTCGGTGAGGAGGGTGACAGCGGTACCCTTCTTTCCAGCTCGAGCCGTTCGACCCACTCGATGGATGTGGGTCTTGATGTGGCGAGGCACCTCGTATGAGAGTACAACATCTATGTCCGCCACATCAATACCACGCGCCAAGGCATCTGAGCAGATTAGTCCATTTATTTTGCCAGCTGCGAAGTCCTGAAGGGCTTGCTTTCGAGCACGAGCCGAAAGGTTACCCGACAACTCGGCCACCTTAGTGGTGGTACGTTCAAAAAGCGATGTCATCACGAAAGTCAGGCGACTGGCCTGGACTGTGCTGTTGGTGAAGCAGAGGAACCGCTTCCACTGGTATTTCTCCACCAGAGCAAACAGGGTCAGTGGTTTCAGTCGCAGCTCCGTCACACAGAACTGTTCGGTTAACTCTGCCGGTGTTGTGTATTTGCCCACAAATTGTCCTTGATCTGGATTTGTTTCCGCATTGGTATCTTCACCATTTATATCCCTTATCACGGGCATGGTAAAGACGGTGGTGAACAGCCGCGGCTGGAAGAGCCGTAGATTCTGAAGTTTCTCCGGATCCTGGGACAGCGTGGCCGAGAATAGAAGCTTATGTGGCTGCTTGCCAAAACTGGACTGAAGCTCAGCATAGCATAGAGGTGCTTGAGTGCCGGCCAGCAACTGATCTGTGGTCTCTTTGACATGACTGTCCAGGTGATAAAGCCAGTTTTGGAAAACGGCGTCCATTATCCTATCGGCCTCGTCAATGATTAGGAATTTAAGGTTCTTCAGGCAAAAGCCTTTGGTAGCATGTAGATGGTCCACCAAGCGACCTAAAATAAGAATCAATTTTGTATAAGAAAATTAAGGGCTTGGCTTTTAAACTCACCTGGTGTGGTGACCACAATGTCCACCTTGGAGTAGTATTTTCCCTTGTACAGCTCCACCAGCTTCTCCTGCTCGTCTTCCAATTTATGTTGCTTTGACAGTAGGCAAACCTCCAGCTCAGTTTTGCTGCACAGCGCACTGATGACCCGGTAAACTTGTAGGGCCAACTCTGCCACGGGTAGAACAATCAAAGCTCGAACTTTGCACTCGACACGTTGCGATAAAAGCTGGACAATTGGTATGGCAAAGGCCAGGGTTTTTCCACTACCCGTGGGAGCAGATACACAAATGTCACGGGGGCGAAAAGGGGCTGGCTTGGCATGTGCCTCCAGGATCCAGGGGATGACCTGCCGTTGGACAGGAAACAGTCGCTTGATCTTCATCTGCTTAAGAGCCAAACAGGTGGTCTTTTCCAAGTAGTCCAGCTGATCAATGGCCTCTGAAGCAGGAATCTCCTCCTCGGGCTGAAGGATTCCACCTTCGATGATCGTGGGATGAGCCAGCCAACTGGGCAGCGTCATCTCCACCTTTTTTTTCTTGGCTGCCGAACCATCGTCACCAAGAACTTGGAAGTCATTGGAGGGCACATCCTGTTCCTCTACTAGCTCTTGGGGTTTTTCAAGTTCTTCCACGGGCTCCTCCTTGGTTTCGGTTTCGGCTTCCTCTGGGGCAGGATCTTCTTGGACGGGTGCTTCTATAACTTCACTTTCTTTGTGTTTCCTCTTGCGTTTCGCAGCCTTTTGGAGCAATTTCTGAAGGATTTCATCCTCGTTGTTGGTGGTTTCTTGGGTGCCAGTTTTGGGCTTCTTTAAATCCTCTGTATATCTAGGGATGTAATAAATATTTATTACTGTTGGTATTATATGCCACCTAACTTACCTGTTTACAGTGAATAATTCCATTACTAACTATTCAATAAAACGAGAACAAATAAATGCACGTGTTGCCTCAAGATTGTTTATGTTTTTGAATAAGTGTGACCATTCAGGCGTTTCGGCTTATGCCCAAAAGGCAGGGTTGCCATATGGCATTCTAAAAAGGGCGCGTTACATTTAAATATTAGGATTTGTCTTAAATAATAATTTATATATTTTTTAATAAGACATTTTGATTATAGAAAAGGTTGATATTTTTATACAGTATTATTATTATTTGTAAATTACTAGCACATTGAGGTGAATATACTTTTGATAATAAGTACATCTAAAAATAAGCGTAAAAAACAGTCTTACTTAAATTATTCAACATTATACATATTAAAAAAAATTTAATTATTTTACAAATAAAATGCACTTTAAGCTGAAGCAATAATTTGCATTGGAAATCATTTTTATTGCCAGCGTATTTATAACTCCTCCTTTGTCTCTTCCTCACGTCATATTAATTATTCCAAATTTTATATTCCAGTTTTTAGGAATAATTAACATTATTCCCATAACCGCAAGCAGAATAATTGACAACGGAAATGAAAGCAATATTAGTTCATATTCCAGTTTTCAAGGGGTTTTGTAGTTTCCCTTAGATCGTTTTACGAAATGCGTTGATGCGTATGCAAAACGCTTCCAGCCTGATGGGTTTCTTTGGGGATTTTTATGCCAGTCAGTGATTCATAATTGACCCAGAGATCGTACCCACGTGAGCGGCAGATGCAAAAATATACAGCGAATAAAATAAATGATTATGGGCATACCCAAAACCGGTTAAAAGGTTTTTTTACATGCTCCACTAAAAACAGAATCTGCAAAAGAACGAAATTTTGTCATCTGAAATATTTGACGAACTTTTTGGAAATTCCTTAGTAATATCTAAACCACAATTCGCTGTAAAAAAGTTGTCACCTTTTGTGACTACGTATATTTGAGATTTGTTTTGCCATTTCCGTTCGTAAAAGTGCATTTTTAAATGGCTCCATTAATCATACGACGGTCGTTTCAATTCGAATCAGTTCAGTGGCAGTTGAACACCTGTTACAGAGGGTGCGACACTCCCACATTGTGTGTCAGAACTTAAATATAGTAGTAGTACTTGGCCCACTGCAGTCGGAGTTTGAACCCTCCCTGTAAGATTAAAAAATAATCTAAATAAATAAAATAATAATTAGGTATTCACTTTACAAACATTTATTACAATCTTGTCGATCAGTAGCCATTGAACTATCATGGAATAAAAAAAATCACGCCCTCGGCACATATAGTATCGAACCACATAGTATTTAAAGTTATTAATTCACCCAGTGATTGTTATTCAAATATTCTTTTCTTTACCCAACTTTCGTTTAAAGCGCTCATAAATTTTAATCTTCTTCGAATTGGAAATTTACTGTGGGATAATTAGCTGGCGTTCTGCTTATATTGTTTACTTTTATAAATTGTAATATTCTTTTTAATTGGAAAATATACATTGACTTGGGAAAATTGATTTGTGCCTCAGACGTTTTGCTGAGAATGTTTACGATCATCAAAATAGAAAGTCGTCTAAATTATAATTTATATTTTTTGATTTAGACATTTTTTGACAACGTTTACAAAATAGTTATCATAAAAAGTGTTATATTATTGAGGTGTTCCCAAGACTTTTAAATATTCATGGGAAACTCGGAAAGTCGATGAACTAAACATCAGAATCTTCTTGGGCTCCTTGATCGACTTTCAAAACTTTCAGGTTCTTATATTTGGCACATGTGGCGGATTAAAATATCAAAACTGGATTTGAGGTTATGAATCGAGTTTGCGGATATGAAAGCTGTCCATATTATGGCTATTGTAAGGCAAAAGACTCATTGTTCGGTTCTTTTGGGCGAATCCAATGCCAGAACGGGTTTCTTCGAATAAATTCGGTTCCGTTTTTTAGTTTTGAACTCCCCTGACAAAGTTTGACTTTGTACGCGCAAGTGACAGCGAAACCAAGAATCGATCTTATCTCGATGTTCCATTAGTCTTTATCAGTTCGATCTAATTGAATTTCTCCCACACCTTCTTTTACTCTCTCCCTAACGTAACTGTCTTCGCTTTATCTTTCTTCCGGCGAAATCGTGGTTGTTTTTACTTGCACTTGTTTAAACATTGTTTTCGTTCAGCAGTTACTATAAACTTAATTAAAAACTTTGGAGCTCGAAATGAGGGGAAAAACTCGTACTTACTACGAGATATTACGTAGGGTTTTTAGTACTTTTTACAATTTTTTATTATTCTGTGCAATAAACGTGTAGATGTTTTACGGGTTTTCCTAACATGTTCTTTGGAATATATTTTTTTGAATAGAAAACTAATTATGTATGCACACGTGGGATCAATGAACTTTGAATACTAAATTATTCATTGATATCCATAAAGATATAACTATTATTCCAGTACAAAATAAATCAAGATTTAAGTCAGCATTTGACAAGCAAACTATTGGAATATGTGTTATAATGTTTGTCAATGATCGAAATACCATTTAAGATCTAAATATTTAAGTACATGATTTTTTTTTCGATTGGCGTAAGATATCATTCTTATTTTAAACTTTTTTAATAATTATCTTAGAAAACTTAATGTGATAAACGTGCCTCTTATAAATACTTTAAAACGAAAAACTAAAATCGAGCCAATAGTAATAAAACCCATAACAATTCTATAATCGTGGCCTTTGTGCGATTTTACAGCTTACTTGAAATATTTATTATCGTGTTCTATATGCTAAGTTGGCAGTTGATTGTGCAAAATTAAAATAGTTTTCTAAAAGCAAGCCAAACGCTACATTTTCCCCTTGATTCATGTGGGATTATTCCTATGTTTGCCGGGTTACAAATTCCAGAACATTTAATTTCCCCCACTCGAACGTATTATGTGTTATAATGTTTGTCAATGACCGAAATACCATTTAAGATCTAAATATTATGTTATATTTCTTCAAATACTTAATGTGATAATCGTGCCTCTTAAAAATACTTAAAAACAAAATACTAAAATCAAGCCAATGGTATTAAAACCCATGACAATTCCATAATTTTGTCCGTTTTAGGATTTTCCAGCTCACTTGAAATTCTTATTATCGTATACTTTTTGCTAAGTTGACAGTTGATTGTGCAAAATTGAAATATTATTTCTTTGATTCATGTGGTTTTTTTGATTATTCTGATGTTGGCCGGATAACAAAATTCCAGAGCATTTAATTTTTTTTAACAAAAAGTCTCAAATCTAGCCAATGGTAATAAAACCCATGACAATTCCATATTCGTGGCCTTTTTGGAATTTTTCAGCTCACTTGACATATTTATTATCGTACACTTTATACTATCGTTTTTCTTTGATTCATATGGGGTTATTCTTATGTTTGCCGGGTAAAAAATTCCAGAACATTTAATTTCCCAAACTCGAACGTACGTAACCGGTAAAAGCAAAATCAGAAATGAGAAAATCAAACAAAACAAACCCGAGATAAAAACAAAAGAGATAATAATAACATCGACACCTGTCGGTGATCTCCGCTGAAAAGTGAGAAAGAGAGGGAGCGAGAACTCGTCTATGACTCGATACTCAAAGCCCGCCGATCGCTTTATAACGGTAGGACATAAAAGCGCCGGACTTCATTTGCAAACGTTTCGCGGTCGACTTAACACGCTGGCGAATCGGTAACGCTGCTCAGTAAAAATCGCGAAAAGTTCAAAAATCGACGAAAAAGTTTAAGGCAAAAAACTCGGGTTTTCTGCTAAAAGTTTTCGTTTGGCCTAAATTAGTTTCGCGTTTAAGGATATAGAATACAAAAAAAAAAAACATGTTGAAATTTATACTGCCCGTATTATTTCTCATTGTCTCGTAAGTGAACAACCGTGATAAAAAAGCAAAAGATCTCTAAAATCTCAAAACAAAATTAAAAATGTCCTGTAAATTTATACTTTTTACTGGGGTTACATTTTAAAGCCCAATTAATTTCTCTTAAAAAAGGATCTAAATTTCATTTTGTTACAATTTTTAACAAAATGATTGCTTTTAGTTTTGAATTAGTTAAAAATGTTGGTTGTTTTTAAGTGAAATGTCAAAATGTAAAATTAAAGGTTGCAAATTCGAATTCTCCTATATATTTAAAGATTCCTTTTATAAATAACAAATAACTGATTAAATTGATAAAGGATAGAAAAAAATATATTAATTCATTTTTAACAGAATAAGTAAATAGATCAAGTAGCATTTAATTTTTAAACAAATCTTAACTTGTAAAATTTTGAAATTATATTTTTGAAACTAGTATTTTTAGGCCACACTGATTTGAAGCAGCTAAAATAGCGCTCAGAAATTGCCCAAAAATCAACTCCAATCCGCCTTGGCACGCCTCAAGCTTCCAAACAAAGCGAATTTGGCTCAAAGAAAGCTACAATTGTGTGTTTAATCTGGACTGGCCTTGACCAGCCAATAGGCAATTGATATAAATGACTGGCCAAGATCATAAAATAGTATACAAAATTTAAAAGTAAATACAAATAGTCGTAACATTTGTCAATTTTGAATGTCACTTGATTAGCAATGTGGATAGCAAAGAGAGGGGATTTTCGAAGAAGATTAAGCAACATTATTCGATTAACACATTACCATATCATTTCAGATGTCTGGGCAGTCCGGTGAGCCAAACGCGTCGATTCCCCAACGACTTTCTCTGGGGCGTCGGATCATCTTCCTACCAAATCGAGGGGGGCTGGAATGCCGATGACAAGGGGGAATCGATCTGGGACTTTCTCACCCACACACATCCCGAGAAAATAGCCGATCAATCAAATGGTGATATATCGGCGGACAGCTATCATCAGGTAAGCGGAGAGAATCTACTCACGTCGCTATTGGTTAATAAATAATGGAAAATCGGTAATGGTAGTATTCAGAATCAGTCGTCGGCTCGTTTGGCATCGCAATTCGATTGGAAGTTATGCAAAGAGTTCAAGATCTCCCGTCGACTTGCTGAGGTAATCGACTGGAAAATATGTGAGCAGTTTGCAATTGATGCACTCTGATGGCGATTACTTACAGAGCTAATTACGTGATAATATCTAGAGCTTTTGACGCTGATGAGAGGTCTTAAATGTCAAAAGAAATCAAAAGTTAAGATCTAGTTCTGATGTTTTTCTTTGTTTTGAAGAATCCAGGGATCTTCTTAAATTCTTTGAGTTTTGAAGAAATCTCAAAGCATATGCGATTAAGACATTTGGTTATTTTTTAATAACCGTTCATAATTTCTTAAGACAGGTTTATCTTTTACTGGCCCATAAAAAGTTATAGAGGTTCTAAAACCAAGTCTTAGCCATTAAATTTGAAATACCCCATAGATCGAGTTCTGAAAGCTCTCTGGCTTCTGCAAGCCGCTTCTGAGAGATAACAAGATAATCTGCAGTTTTGCCCCCAATTAATTCGATGCCAAGATCATTGTCCAATTATGTTTTAATAACATGACTTCAAGCAATAACCATATTTCAAGTGACCATTTTCAATAGGCCATAATATCATCCTCAAGTGTGGACATGCAATGCGTATCCCATTACGGATCGTAAAGTAATTTGCATAGTTCTGACCACAAAACCATTAGCGAAGAACCGCATAAATCATGAACAGCAGGCCTTTGGCATGGGGACACCTGTTTCGATTTCGGTTTGATTAACTACTACTCTGTTCTGATAATCAACTTGTCTCCATCTGGGACTTTCAGCACTTTACATTTGCACCATTTGTCCGGTCAATTGATTAATGACGCTCGATCCGTGCTGAATTAATGATCTTCCAACAATAAACCAACTTAAAGGGCACTTTAACTAGGGCGTGACTTGCTCATAGACCTGAAACGGAACTGGAGTATATTACAGGAAAGTCAGATGACAATATATGGACATTTTTTAACAGATAAACTATCTGGTTAGACCTGATAAAAATCGTAAATAACCTGTATCAGTGCTATTTATTAATAAAGCAGTTGTCCCATTTTCCAACGAGACAGATATGAATAACTTATCTTTTCATATCAGTTTATAACTCGGCACACTTTTAATAATGATATAAGTCTTAAGCTTTGTAGTAAAAACTTAAGTTTTTAA